GACCACTCGGAAGTTGCAGAAGCGCGTCTGGTAGTTGAGCCGCTTCTGGAGGTAGCGCGCCACCCGCCGGGCGGCCACCTTGGCGGCTGGCTCGGACGTGAGTCCCGTGCAGGTGATTTTACCCGATGACCACATCGAGGCGGTGGTGTACGGCTTGCGCAGCTTCATCGTTACCATCTGCAGGAGAGAAGGAGAGGGTTACTCAGTGGGTAGTCGAACACTGTTGGGTCTCCCAAAAACACTGTCTCATGTTGCTAAACAAACAGGAAGAGGCAACTCATAAAAACCGTTTAAACCCGGCACCCGTTCGGGCCGGGTGTGTCTGGAAATGCAGCCAATGTGTGAGCCCGGCACGGGGAGGAAAACCACGACCGGGACAAGAGGCAGGTGGCAGAGAGCGGTATTTCCATACTATACCTACAGAGTGCGGTACCCGGACTCCGATAACAACGGCCATTGGTACATATATTGGAAAGAATGGTACTAGATGGGTAATATCAATGGCAGCATTACTGATGTTAATGACTCCTCTTCTGTGTAAGACACGACAGAACCTTCAAAAAGAAACAACTCAACATTTCATAGGAAGGTGGAGGAAACATCTTATTGATTCTCATTATAAATTCAGAAGCGAGTAAATATTCAATGTTGCTGAGGTAATTGCGGAAGTTGCTGGAGTGCGCCAAAAGCTCAAAACTCCCGGCTTCATCACCAGTTCAACTTACAGAGGTCACTAAACCGTAAATTCCGCCTAACAAAAGTAATGAACCCGAAAGCGCACAGCCATCGACCTCTGCAATATAAATACGGACACTGTACGGGTACTAACTTATCGTGGCGCATGTCCAGCACACCTGATCCAATAAGACAAAGTCAAAGTTAATCTGCGATCACGTCAAAGGAGATTGTATCAATCATGACCATCAATCAATACGGAAACATACAAAACGACGTGATTTGTTGCCTCATGTGATCCCAGTGACCATCTCGGATCCAATTATCAAATCCTACTCCAGCTCATTTGTTTTTAACAGTCATCAAGTCTGGATAGGAGTTCACGTCTGATACGTCGCGGAAGTCCATTGATAATTATTACAAAATCACTGCCCACACTGAAATAGACATGTCTTATCAACTAAAGTAGACCTGTCATAGACCCATCTTACAAGCTTATAGTCGTCAACTTCTGATCGTTTTTAGACCGCGAAGTGCGATAACCAAGAAGTCTGATATGAAGCATGTATGAACGAATAATTCGTCCTATACTTCTGACCATTAGCACTAGTTTCCCCAGTGGCTTCATTACGAGGTCACGATTCATCAATTCTTTTATATGTCGCGTCGGGTACAGTTGCTACCGACACCGACTAATGCCATCTGTTTTTAGAACATTACTTATGTAATCGGAGATCCGTTGGCAAGGCGCGGCGAAACGGAGTGCACTGATGCAAACTGCACAGTATAGTCGGCACTAATCGTCGATACCTCACGGGTGCTAGCTGACGGCAGTGGCGACTAGCGTGGGGTGGTTTTCCGATTCTGACTTAAAGTCTCCGTGCTACCCACCGCATAACAAGGAATCGCCCCGTTTTCTCAGTACGTCGGCTACCTGCGGCTGCAGCAGCAGTCCACCGCCCGACGCGCCGCACGCCTATCGCCACCCCTCCTCAGACAACCGCATCCACTCAGTTATTGAGCCGCGTGTTCGCCCATCCAGCCAATGGGCTCGTAGAAGTTCGATATGTATGGGACACTCAACCCGCTTCCGTGACGACTTCAAACTCATCCGCGTTTCTCATAGGCGGGACACGCACGCTCAACATGTAACGTTCTCCTATGGACGGGACACCAACCCACTACCGTACGAATCGCAGTATCACATCGAAAGCCATGCAAAAGACACTCTCACTCAGTGGCGCGGGAACCGGGGGGGCTAGCGGGGGCTGAGCCCCCCCAGCTTTTCGGCTGGGGGGGGGGGGGGGCTCGTAATGTATTTGAGCCCCCCCCCCCCCCAGCTGGAGGAATCGAAATCGGAAATCTACCAACATAATTTCATAGATTCATACGTAGGCGCGGGAACCAGGGGAGGGGGCAGTGGGGGAAGCTCGCCCCCACAACTCTGCGGCCGTGGGGGCGGTGCCCCACAACGTTTCATGAGGCCAGGAACCGTTGGGCAGCTTGTCCTCCCCAAATTAGGGGTTGTAGGTCACAAAGGAAGAAAGCATGTAAGTGAAAAATCCACCTATTTCACTGGCTCGGCAACTCATTTGGCAGATTAAAACCTTTACTCCAGGTTGTCAAAACGGTAGTTTCTTCACTCAGCTGAGACGGAATACCTACCTCACTTTTTGAAAATATTTTCGTGTGTTTTTTTTTGTTGAAAAGGCCAAGGTCTGAAAAATAAGTGGCCTAAAACCGGTGAGAAAACTAGATTTGGGGGTACCCTAGGTTGATTTCTATTATGGTTCAGCCCCCCCAGTCTGGAAGAAGTTCCCGCGCCACTGCTCTCACTCCATTCATTTACACGCGTAACACTCACCCCGTTTTCGCGTCGGTATTCGACGTTGTCGCCGTTCATGGCGATGTAGCGCAGGTCGAGGTGACACCGCACACTGAAGCTGCACACCACATTGTTGATGGTGATGTCCACCTCCTCCTCCACGGGCGCTTCCTCTGCCTCGCCCGCGGCGGCGGCGCCGGATTTGTGGTCCGCCGCCTGCTGTGTGTCCGAGCTCAGCTGCTGAGCGGCGGCGGTATCACAGCCGAGCGCCGCGCCGGCCGCCTTTCCCGGCACCGCGGAGCAGTTGGTGGCACTGCCATTGGTCATCACATTGCCAGACGCCAGTGGCTGCACTAGAGCCATCAGCCGGGCGTCTTCCTGCAACATGAGAAATGATGGCAGTTAAAGTGAAGTCAGTGCCTTCAATGATCCCCAAATATCAGGTATCAGGTATCAGGTATCAGTTTAGAAGAAATACAGCAGAAACTAAGAATTAATATTTAAGGCATGAGTCCTATGAACCCCAGCTATTTTATTGACTGTCAATCTGCCAAACGGTGTGATTATATGTCTCTTTTTCCTGAGGTCCTACCCTATAATGCAAGACAATGGAACCTGACCCTGGTGATGACACTTAGTGAAAAAATAGTAAATGAGACATGGTGAAGGCTCACTTTGCTTATCCCACTTCAATCTTCAGACTGCCATAAAACAAATGACTTCAGAAGAATCTTAGTCAGCAGGCATGAGCAATAATTGGCTTCTATGGTATAATGGTGGTTAAGTTAGTTGATAAAATGCCTCAGTATTTTACGCTCATTAATTGAGCATGTGAAGACCAGTGACACAGCTATCATCAAGCAACTATCACTTGGGTATTCTTTTACAATGAGGCCCTTGACCTGCCTACAGGGCACTTCCATTATACAAATAAATCAAGCTAAGTCTTTACAAACATATGCCATCTCAGCAACATTGTGATATGATGCACAATCTCATACATTGAAAATGACTCAAACAAACTATGGAAATGTTCAAAAGGTATCAAACCAAAATGTGCATAGGCAGCTTGTTTGACTAGACAATACACACATACAAAAAAAAATGAAGTAAGGTACAAATTGAAAAAAAAAACATTCAGATAGGTTAAGCCTGCAACAAGCAACTCCCTAGACCTAGGAGTTTGGAAAAGACTTCAGCAGCAAATGAATGTGATAAGAAAATAAGGGGCAACTCATGCCCTGTAGGCAGCTGTCAAGGGCCTCATGGCCTCATTGTAAAAGAATACCCAAGTGATAGTTGCTTGATGATAGCTTGCTCTGAACTAGAAGCCATTCTGATGAATGTGCCACTGCCCTGGGAATGACAACCCTTATTCCTCAGGTCATAATTGCAAAATCATGAGCCTTCCAGACTGCAAGGCAAGGTAATTGCAATGAGGGCTTGCTTGTAATCACTCAAATGATTGCAAGGGCTTGCAATGAGCGCTTGTCAGCCAGTGCCTTGAGGAGCCACGAAGATTTCCTCTGCTGCAATCTATCTGGATGTTGCCAGGCCAGTGTAATAGACAATTACTTATTCCGCATAACGATGCAGATAATTGATGGATGGAACTAGGCAGACTGAATGGTTCAACACTATTTTCTTATCCAGTTCTTAAGATATGGAGGATGTTAATGCAGGTATCACAGTAAAATATGGATGCGTAAAATGTAGGCTGTAAAAATGTCAATGTTGCAACTTCCACACGATAAATCAAATCAAATCATAGAAAATGCAATCCATGACAATTGACAATCAATGACATGAGGCCGTTTTCAAGACTCTAGTTAACACTGTTGTTCAGGAACAAACTGAAAAAAATATCACAAAACAGTGAAAAAATTCATTGCAATGGCTTATAGAAATGAACAAACAGATTTAGTAGGTACACCGCATGGCGCATACAATCATGCACAGAACAAAGATTGAGATCACCAATGAACAAGTTTTTTTCACAATTAGCTGCTTAAAGTATGCCCAAGAATCACCTTTGATGGTTCCTGATTAAGCTTTCAAGAGATCCAGCGGCTTGAAACGTTTATAGCAATTTTCTTGCCAAAACAGCCCACGCGTGCCAAGTCCAAAAGGCTCGGTTACGACACGCCAACCATCATCTCTCATCGCCGCGATGCCACTGATTATTCCTCCCCCATTTATGGTTTGCAGCTGAAAATGGACTCTTCCAAACATTTTTCTGGCTTTTGATTGGTTGATAAAACGGATAAAACAAGAATATTTAGGTTTTATCAAATCTTAGGATAAAATGTCATCAATTGTTAGCTAAAATGAGAAACCTATTTAAAGCATTGATTCACAAAAGACAGAATATCACAAAATATAGAATTTATGTAAAAACCTGATTAGTAGGATAACTAGAGTATTTTAAACACTAAAATTTGTACTAGAATGCCACCTAAATTTTGATGAATTTTATGACAAAATTTACTTTCAAAGAAAAAGTCATTTGCTGTAATTTCTAAAGAACTTACTCTGAAATAAATTCAATGTAATTCAGCCAAAAAGGTCACTAAGATAAACCCGGTTTACATAGCATATTTGACGAGGCTCTAGCTCGTTAATTTGGCGATAATTTCGATGCAGTGGTCTTCAAATATTTAGAGGGGATCATTTTGTAAATTGTTCAGCACCATTGGCATATTTTGCAACATCACGGACGGAGATATAAGCTTGCAACAAACCCTATGTAAACGCGTCTATAGACAGGGCTGACGGTTGTAATTGAAGATAGATTTGAGACTAGATTCTGGATGCTATCTGGCAGCACAGCTGACCTCAACGAGATCCGGCAACGCCCTGTGTGTACGTTGGAAGAGGCGAAATTTTTCAAGATAAATGCCGGATAAACCCTAAAGGAAACGTCGCGTCTTGCACGGTAATCATGCGTTTATTTTTACATTTTTCTCTGTTGCCCTTACCGTGATACGATTGTTATATGCTTGTGTATTCCGGCGCCGAAGCTCTGAATCCTGCAGTCTCATTCACTGTTATTATTTTCATATATTCATTATTTTGAAGGCACTAGAAACGTGTTATATTAATATAAGTTGATGAACCGAATCATTTTATTTTTAATCAGGTAATTTCATGCCTCGTTCAATTTTAATTGAACGAGGCATGAAATTTTCGGGAGAGGTAACCCACGGTTCCAGTACACGCTTCTGGGGGAGCCACTCTCAGCGGTGACAGAAGAGAAAGACTTGGGCATCTTCATCGACGAGGAATTGAAGTTCAAGAAGCATGCTGCTGTTGCCATCAGCAAGGCCAACCAGATTCTGGCAGTCATCCGACGCTCCTTTGAGCTACTCAACTCCGAGACTCTCCCAGTCCTCTAGGCTCTACAAGACCCTGGTCCGACCTCACCTAGAGTATGGCAACATCATCTGGGGCCCCTTCAACAAAGAAGATCAACGACTGGTGGAGAGAGTCCAGCGCAGAGCCACGCGACTTGTCACTGAAATCCGGCATCTCCCGTATCAGGAGCGGCTGCGCAGGCTACGGCTGCCGTCCTTGCTTTACAGAAGACGCAGAGGAGACGTCATCATGCTCTACATGCTCATGACTGGTCTTCTGAACCTGAAGAAAGAAGACTTCTTCCAGGCTGCTCCATCAGCAAGCACAAGAGGTCATACGATGAAGGTGGCCAAACCAAGAGCTCTGACTAGAGTAGGAAGAAACCACTGGAGGGTACGTGCGGTCAACGACTGGAACTCGCTGCCGGCTGAAGTGGTTCTCGCACCGACCCTGAATGGGTTCAAGAACCTCCTTGACAGACACTGGTCGAGTCGTATGTACGATATCCCTACCATAAACTGAGTTTGAGCAAAGAGTACCGCATGAGCTCGACGAGATCGGGTCCAATAGGCCTCTGGCCTCCAATAGTCCCGCCAACATTAAGGTAAGGTAAGGTAAGGTAATTGTCAATACCCAGGCTGCAAAGGCATAGCGGCATTGCAGTGTAAGACAAGCCGCACCAGTTAGGGTGACAAACCTGAAGCAGTCTACACTATCAGGCATAAGCGTTGGAAATTTGCACCACTATTTCTTACCAAAAATGTAGCTTTTTGCATGTTTAATGTTAAAACTGGTCAAAACTTCATCTAAAGGCTGTTTGTTATTCCCTAACTGACATCTCAGTCTCCGCTGTAATTTAATTGGTAAATATTTACTTTAGGTCCGCAATATTATTTTAACAAGAAAAAATGCACATTCTTACACTATTTGATGTCCTGAATTCAGATATGATGCTTAAATGCATCAAAAAATGTAAAATAAGATACTAAAACTCCAGCACATTACACCGCACTGCTGCACAATACACACTGAAGCAAGCACGCTTCCGCGACAAAAACGAAACATACAACGCTGCCCTATAAAAGAAAAAAATGATGCGGATATTCATTAGTTTTCGACGTTATGAAAATGACGTCATAATACCAAAGCACAAGAAAAACGGTGAATAAAAAAGAGAAAATATTTAGCAAAGGTAATAGAGCATGAGAAAATGATCAGAACATAACCAAACCTTACCTAACCTGACCTACTGATGTTTGCCTACTGGGGGAAAAGGAAAAAGTGACTTGCATGAATAGATTGCAAGCAATGGTAAGTCAAATATTTTTAGGTTAAGTGGTTATGCATCAGGCTTCAGGCCTTCGGCCTGAAGCCAGATACACAACCACTTAACCTAAAAATATTTGACTTACCATTGCCTGTAATCTCTCCTAAGGCATTGCCTTCGGCACTGCACCGCTCCGCCTCGATTATTTTGACGTCACTTTCCTTACAATTTATTATCATCCGTAATTTCTCTCAACCTTGGTTGGACCATTTGTAGCGGGTGCGCCGCGCAGACACGTGCAGTTCCGTACAGTTCAGTTCCGTGCAGTTCCATGGCTGGTCGGAGGTGGGGCCGTTGGTGGTGATACTGGTGATACTAGTGTACTGGTGCTTTTAAATTGGTTTCTAGAAGGAATAATTATCATAAATGAAATCAGGAGGTCTTAGAGTATCGTGTGAATGACTTTTATTTATCCCTCTGTTTTGCGGACCTAAAGTAAATAAATACCATTTAATCATGCTCTTATTTTTTCAGGGGCATTTTTTTATATTTTTTTTATTTTCAGGGGCAGCACCACATCTTTTTCCTGGGGGTAGGGAGGGTGGTTGATGATTCGCCTCATTCTCAAATGAGATGTTTGAATTTTGAAAACTGATCCAATTTAAGATCGGGGCAAATATATACTACAGTCTTGACATGCTGACATTGTATTACAGATCCGATCCTGCATAAGCAGTCAGTCTTTGTAGCTTGTAGTAACTATTGTGCTTTTGTTTCAGCCTGAGCCGGCCTCTCAGCCATGCAGACCATCAAATGCGTGGTTGTGGGCGATGGCGCGGTGGGAAAGACTTGTCTCCTCATCTCGTACACCACAAACAGGTTTCCCTCGGAATATGTGCCCACAGTAAGTGCAGCTCAGAGCTCCCCTATTGGACTTGGTAATGCTCCTGATTGGACTTACTGGATGAGGTGTTTGTGTAACTCTACAATAAGCAGTGATTTGAATAGCTTGATAATTAATTTTCCATCATTAATGATAAACTGATTATAAAGAGAGTAGTTAGCCAATGCTGATGTCCTTGTTCGAATGGTTTTTCTCTCAATTGTGAGTCAGATGTAGGGACTAGAGTTCTGCGGTTTCCCACTACATACTAATCTACTCTCCCCCATGTACTGAATTATCAATTAGTCCATTGTGTTGTGACTTTGCCAGCTGTTCATCTCACTGTTCTCACCCCTGCCCTCCCTCACCTGTCTCCAGGTGTTTGACAACTACGCTGTGACGGTGATGATTGGCGGCGAGCCGTACACGCTCGGTCTGTTCGACACGGCCGGTCAGGAGGACTACGACCGCCTGCGGCCGCTCTCCTACCCCCAGACGGACGTCTTCCTCGTCTGCTACTCGGTCGTGTCGCCCTCCTCCTTCGAGAACGTCAAGGAGAAGGTGGGTGATGAGAGGGGAAGGATTGCCAATGAAAGAGGGAGGACATTTAGACAGACATGTCCCAGACATAAGGTTTTTTAACGTGAGTTTGGTGTTGAAGAGATTGTGGATGATGTTTATCGTCGATTCGTCAGTTGGCAACGGTAGTTTTTTTTTACTATGCCCATCATAGTGGTTAGCTTCTCACATATCTGGCTAACAGTAACTAAGCGTCCCTTTCTTGCTGTTTCGTCAGTGGGTGCCCGAGATCACGCACCACTGTCAGAAGACGCCGTTCCTGCTCGTCGGCACCCAGATCGACCTGCGAGACGACGCCGCCACCAACGAGAAGCTCGCCAAAAACAAACAGCGGCCCATCTCACTCGAGTACGGCGAGAAGCTGGCCAGGGAGCTGCGAGCCGTCAAATACGTCGAATGCTCGGCACTCACACAGGTTAGAATTGACTTTCTCTTTTAGAGCGTTGAGTTGAAATAGGGTCCTTATTTCTGAGTAGAGAGGAATGCAGTAGTGATTTTCGGTGGTAGGAGTTTTCGACTCGAGCGGATGTTTGGTTGACCTTGAGGTTGATACTGCTACGCTGCTGCAGGAGCGATAAGGAAGTTTGTGCCCCTGGGCCTGCGCCATAGCATGACATTAAACAGCGCTGCATTATCTTGCATCATGAACTAAAGAGCGATTGTCCGTGGAATGACAACACGCAGCATTCTAAACTCAAGTAGCTCGCGGCTCCGATTAGGTAGATTTGGTTGTTGCTGCGAGATGTAATATTCTGAACATGCATAATGAGATGAATTCATCATCCATTACTTTGGTTGGCATTGCTGGTAGTTTTGAAGCCTTTCAGTAGACAAAGCAGCGTGTAAATCCGTCGATGTGTGCACTGTTCTCGTTCAGTGAGTAATTGCGTGACGTGGCCGCACGACAAGGACAACCATTACGTAAACAAAAGCCGCAGCTGCAGCCCGTTCTGTTTGCAAACCAGTCGGGGATATCCGCTGACTATCGCGTGCATGGCGACTATGCACCGATTGTGAAGTGTTACCACAATTGAAAATGTAGCGTCGATGTGTCAAATGAACGCCGTCTTCAGGCACCGCAAGGAAAATATGAGTAGTACTTACATTCGATGTTATTTTAAAGTCAGGTGCTGGTTTGATAGGTAACAGGCTTCTTGATTCGGTGATTTGTTGGCTAGGTCATCTCAAATTGTTCGTTTCTGACCGCAGGACCCTTACCGCCTTTTCCCGCCTCTGTTTGTCCCTGACCGTCTATTCCTGCCTCTGACCGCCGTCTCTTACCATCCATTCTCGCCCCCAAACACCGTCTCTAACCGCATATTCGCCTATATATAACCGCCGTCTCCGTCGCCTCGCAGAAGGGTCTGAAGAACGTTTTCGACGAGGCGATACTGGCGGCGCTGGAGCCGCCGGAACCACCCAAAAAGAAACGCTGCAGCATTTTGTAATTGTGAGTACTGCCGACAGCGGGATCTCGAACACGGCCCAGGGTATTCCGCGGCCGAAATGTGAAGGTCGATGGGCGGTCTGACATTCTCAGAACCCGCTCTGGTCCGAGTATTGAGCCAGGGATTCCCCGAGCTCCGCACCGCGCGGCTGCTCTGTAACGATCGCCCTGTTCGTTTGCCCTGTGTGCGGCCTTCGATCGGGCCTGGTGGTGTCACTGTTGCCATGGCAACGAGCCTGTCGGCTGTCTTGATTATGCAGACTCACGGAACCGAGATAAAAGAATTGCACATTTTGGTAGTAATAAGCAGCTGCATTTCATCATTAATGCTCAAGCTCATGGTTCGACACTAGGGTGGCACTAAAACGGGGCTAAAATTTTGTTTTGAGAATTTTCAACGGGACTGGCAGCCAATCTGTTCTACCACCCGAGAAAACGTTGTGTGTAAAATATTTTTGGAAAATATGTTTATTTAGAGGTAGCTCAACCAGGTCAAAGTTCGCATTTTTGTGAAAAACATAACTTTGCCGAAATTTTAATTTCCACGTGTATTTCTGATGTTCACAATGACATTGGACGTTGCCAAGACTTAATCGAAACGTTTCAGCACCTAAAGCTCAGATATATAGGTACATATGAGGTACATAATTCTTTTGAAGGTATGCATAACTTACTGCATAACTCCATGAAAAGAGAAAGCGGTATCATCCGTAATCAGCCAACACTTGTACACATCATTCGTCGGCTAGTCTTGCCTACTTAGAAGTTACGATCGCCTTGCGTATGTCAGAATGCTTGCGTCTTTGCTCCTCGACGACCTACAAGAGAGGAGCTGCTGTCAGTCTTTATCCTTCGTTGGGGTCAGATCGATTTCCTAGCCATCAACAAAATGCCTCGTTCCGCGAAGTCGTAGAGGCGTGAAGAGACCTCATGTAGCGCATGGCGGCGTTGTAGAATGGCTTGACCTCCCAAAGAATCGGATCCTTCAAGAGAAAGTCGGTGTCCATATACCGAGGATGCTGAAGAAGCTTGTGAAGCCAGTTGTGGTATGACGAAGTCTGCCGTGGACTTGCTAGAGACTGAAGCTATAGTAAGTTCAACGTGGGCTCGACGGGGGGAGGGGTCCTCGGGCCTCTCTTTCTCTCGTAACGGTGCAGCCATCTCACGTCTAGTGGCAGCGATCGTAATCTCCTTCATTAGAAGTTGAGGGCGACCAGCCTCTCATTTAGATACCAGAGGTGACGGCTGAAGGCAATGGCTGTCGCCTTGGACACCAATTCGAACACCAATTCGTCCAATTCGTACTCCAGGAGGGACTTGAGGAAGTCGAGATCTTGCGCTGGTGCAGACGCCAGAAGCGGTGCACTGAATCGAGCCGAAAACTACGTTGTTACCACAAAGGTCACGATTCGCTGGCGGCTGGAGGCTCTTATTCTTAGACGTAGTGAGCCGGTATTGTGCTCGGAAGAGGTAAAGCTTCATAGCGTAAATGGTATTGGTCAACCAGCACACAAGGAGCATATCGGGGCGAGCGATCTTCATACCTCGTTTCGGAGCACCACCGAGGACAGTGATGGCCAGCTCCAGCATCTCACGGTTGTCACGTGCGTGCTGGCAGTCAAGGATATATGACCGAACTGTGCAAGAGCATCACGCGGGTTGCGGAGGTGGGACATGTCACAGTTTTTGAAGGTTTATGGCTCCGTTTCATCTAGACGCCCACTTTTTATGGAAGCGCTTAAACAAAACAACGTCCGGGCCGCTGGACGGGCCGAGACAGGCTGGAAATGTCTTTATAGAACAAACTCGTAAATGTCGTGGCAAGTCAGGTGGAGCAAGTCCTGCTCGAGCCGCTGCTCGATGATCGTGCAGGCTCCTGCATTGAGGCCGGTGTTCGATGAACTTGTGTCAAAACTGAGCGCTTTCAGTTTTCACTCAATCCTTCAACTCTCACTCATCGAGAAATTCTAGAACAGCGTTTGCTGCGGCCTGTCAATTTGAGCCTGGCTAGCGAAAAATGTTCTGAAATAGCTAAGCAAAACACAACTTATCTTTTCACGTGCACGTCTTCTCCCTGACATCACGAAGACACGGAGACCTGCCCTGTGGCCGTACACTGACAATGTCCCCCTGCGCATTAGTGACCGGAGATACATGAGCAGAGTAAATGCGTATTACAAACGGATCGCAATATTCAGCGAAGAAAAACCATTCTTGATGCGCATTTATTTGCCCATGTAACCCCGGTAAGTGCAAGCAGTCTCGTGACCCTTCCCAACCATCGTAATACGAGAGAAGAGCTGAAGTTGCACGCCTGGCAGCGGGCTACCGTCACCGAACAAAATAAGCTAAACTACGCTGAACGGCCATTGGTTGAATCACGCATTGCGTCACAGCGCGTTTGCGGCGAGAAACACTGTGGTTATGAAACAAATAGGAAGGCATCTATCATTCATTTAAACGTGTTACAGCTCAAATATGACAATGCTTGGTAAGGCGCGACACACATCTGAATCCCCGTTCACAATATACGTTTTGTATGGTTTTGTCAATATGTACCAAGTATGACCCCATTGAGCTACCTCTAAATATAAATATTTTTTGATAAAATTTCATACAGATCATTTTTTGGTGAGGTAGAACAATATGGCTACCCGTCCCGGTCGAAATTAAAAAAGTCGAAATTAAGTGCCACCCTATTCGACACTCTAGGTCGATTCTGGATTGTGTTTTCATGCTTGCCTTGCGATTTCTAGGCTTGCTGTGACGTTTATGACCTGACCGATGGTCCGTTTCCATTCCAGCTATCGCCCGGTCGCAGCACCTGGCAATAAGCACGGTCTGGACCGCGCTCACATGAGCGCGGTCCGGAGCCGGTCCAGAGTCCGGCGCTCCAGGACAGCGAGGATCCGGAGGATCCGGAGGGACACGGGCAGGTCCGCTGAGGAGCTAGTGTCGAACTGTCAGTGGGTCAGGGTCCACTAGACCCACTCCAGGCACCAAGGGGAGGGCGCACAGGAGGTACGGACTCGAACTCCAGCCGGGAGTGTTGGCCAGCCGCCACCCGATGGGTGGCAGCCCGTAGTCTTTTCGGGCACACGGGAGTCTGGTATTCGCTTCCATCCGACTGTGCAGACTGAGTGGAGCGAGCGAGGCTCAGCGGTCGTCTACCGCGCTCGACTGGCGAGGTGATGAGACTATTTATACGACGTTCCGAGGCGACAGGAACGGCTGGTCGAGGCCGATAAGAGGCCGCTGGCTGCTGGAGAGAGTGAGAAAACTGAGAGATATGAGCCCGAGAGAAGGAAAGAGCGAGAACGAGAGAGAACGAGTGCGTGTCGCTGTGTATGATGTGTCGCCGCGCCGCTATGGCCAGAGCTGCCTAGATCTATCGCTCACACACCCCGCGGCACAGGGCGGCAATACCAAATTATCGTGTATTTACCTTGAGTGACTGGCAAATCGTGCGTGAGGAGAGGAAGGTGCCGTATTATTTACGTACTAACCAGGCGGACGACGCTCCGCCGAGCGGTCACCGCGCCCAGAGGAGAACCTGTTTTCGTAACATTGTGTATGATACCGCGGGAGAGAGAGCGAAGAAATGTGTCCTGTCCAGATTTATAAGTAATTGATTAAAATAAAGCTACCACAATTCCGAATTCATTGTTTAAATTTGAATAGGCTCTTTGGCTTGGTAATCGGGCAACATCAGTGGTCGGCAGGTCATTCGGGGTCGTGCCCCCTTTTTGGGCGCCAGGCAGGGCCATTACCCCCACCTACCAGACCCCATTGCTGACACAACCAAGTTTACTGAAATTCCATACCGTCCTGGAACTCTTTGGGTATTTGTGCATTTCCAATGCATCAAATTTAAAACATGACACTTCCTCCACAAAACATTTAACGCCTATATCCCAGTAGCGGCGGAACACCTTCCATTAAGGGGGAGGGGGGGGGGGGGGGCACTGCCGACTTTTGGTCCCATTCTTTCCATGCAACGCCCATAGGGCTAATGTTAAAATGCAAAAATCAAAGGGTGCACGGTGCCCCGGTGCCCTCCTCGTTCCGCCGCCTATGCTATATCCCATTTAACCCTTGTACGTATAGGGGCGGCGGGTGGTTTTTCGTTAAAAGCTCACGTAAAAGGCATTGGATCACGACCAAATTGTACTCTCGAGCCCATCATTTTTTTTTTTTTTTTTACCAGCGCGGAAAATATCATGACCTGAGACCAGTTTTACCAACAGAAAAATAACCGCCTGCCGGAATTTTTGCCTCAAGACCGCTTCACATACGGAGCGTAAACGCGATGGGCTCGTAAGCGGATAGGGCTTTAGCGTTTACGCTCCATATGTGAAACGATCTTAAGGCAAAAATTCCGGCAGGCGGCTATTTTTCTGTTGGTAAAACTGGCCTCTGCACCCATAATGACCGTTGGCTTATGAGCTTTTTCTGGAGATCATCTTGGGTCATAAAATCTCACTTCAAGAAGTTATAGCGGGGCCCGATTTTCTCGACACTTGTCATTGCCCTCTTGAATGAGACGGAATGACCAAGGACCTTAATAATGGGCAGCAGCGGCTTCCTATTGTCACGGGTAGCACGCTCGTCTTTTTTATGCACAGCTCCATATCAGAGTCCGAGAGGCCGCGGTGGTCCGATCGACTCCTCCCCCTTACGTTAGCGGCTGTTGAAACGCCAACAGACGGGCGACGGTTAAAAGTTGCAGCTGCTTTTGTACGACTGTACGGAGGGGTGAGATGGTGAGGCGAGCAGGTACGTGAAAATTGGTATCTAATCAATGTGTGCTGTGCCTTTGGCCTGGGCTTATCTTTGAACCCTGGGATGCAACAGTCACGATGGCTCCATCACTGGAGCTACAAACTCTAAAAAGATAGACTTTCTCAGAATCCCTCATTACCCCCACCGAAAGGGCTCCATTACCCCCAAAGGGGGCATGCCCCACCATTTGCCGACCCCTGGGCAACATCCATGAAGTTAAGGTTGCAAAAGGCGCTGGGGAAGCGAGTCAATCCTGTCCGTCGGTGATTGCTATCGAGCATTTACTGATGTGAGAATGAAAGCTGAACACATGATTGCTTCAACGTCAAGAAATGCTTTTTTACACAAGTCGCATTTTAACCTTCAAATTTTACGACGAAAAAGGCAACTGATGGCATTTAAAAGGCTCGCATTGAAATAACAAAACTGTATCATGTACAATACAATGCACCTCACGGTGCCCCTCCACCCGTACTGGAGATCACGGCTGGTCGAGGGCGTAGTTTCTGCCGTAGAGCTGTGCCACCAGCAGTCTGCCGGTGTCTGCCACCTCCAGCTGCCCCGTCGGACGGCTGTAGAACCACTCGGCCGCCAGCTCCATATGGGTACGGATCACAGACGGGAACACGGCCCAGTCGGCGCTGAACGAGCCCCGCAGCGAGAACGGAGCCGGCGGCGGCGGCGCCACACCCGCTGGGAACGTACTGCACGAGGCCTGATCGGCCCCCGCGCACAGTACCACCGCGCAGATCTGCGTGCTCCAGTGCGGCGCGAAGTTCCGCCGTCCGTCGAGCACCAGGAGGCGATAGGTGGCGCCCGACTCTGCGCCGGTTACAGGCCGCTGCTGGCTGACGGTCAGGTCACAGCAGAACTCCCCGTCACACAGACGCTGGGACCGGCCGCTCAGCGGAGCGCTCACGAACTCCGACACGTTGTAGTTCTGTATCGGGTAGTAGTCGTCCGTGTTACCGGCCGCGGGAGCAGACCGCACCTGGCGGCCGGCCGGGGCCTGGTCGGAGGGACAGCTGTCGGCCCCCCAGGAGCAGCCGGCCGGCACGGTGGCGGTCACCACGCCGCCCTCGGCGCCCTCCGCGCTGTAGTCGTACAGGTAGCCGAGCGCGCCGCTGCCGGTGAAGATGCCGGAGCCGATGCTGCCCTCGGCCAGGTAGTGGATGCCAGAGGATAGCAGGGTGACGCCCAGACCGCGCGGCCAGGCGCTGTGCATCTGCAGAGCTGCGACAGACGTGGGCGGTATGGAGTCAGATGAGGACACATATAACACGTCTCGCAAGTATGTACATTGTATGTAGTTGTGTGTGATGAAGTCAGGTTATTTAAGACCGTCTGAAGACGGGAGACTGGAGCCTTCAGGTATAAAACTTCTTTGCCTTTCGCCAAATGTTCATGAATCGCATGCTAGAAAGCCATCTGTTTATTGTGGTCACTCAAATCAAAGAAGGCCATTCATGCGTACTGAACAGCTGGATCACAGCGACGCGGCATGATTTGCTCGTTTCCCTTTCACCCACCCGACCAGTGATCCCCGTCGCCCCACCTACCGGAGAGCGAGGGCAGCTCGTCGCCCCAGTCTGTCGGGAAGGCGAAGTGGGTGACGCCCCGGCGCGTCATCTCCACGCCGGGCAGCTCGAACAGGATGTCGAAGCACGTCATCAGGCCGATGACGGCGCCGAAGTCGGTGCGGAATGCCGAGAGGTGCGGCGCCGGCTTCTGCAGGTGCTCCAGCTCGATACCGAACAGGTTGTACTTGTGGTAGCTGCCGGTGAGGGAGATCAGCTTCATACGTTATGATTACAACACTGATCGAGGTCGGTAAAGTTAACTGAGTTCCGCGGTTTCAAGAGCGCATGTCACTTTACTCAGTTATCAAACGCCATCTTATGCGTCAAGAACCTCGGTTTACTTTGCCTCGCAACTTCGAAGAGCGAATGCATAAAACATAAATTTGGAACGATTGTTCAATATGCGTCATGCGTGACACCAAGTTACACCATAGAAATGCTGCAAAAAAAAAAAAAAAAAACGTTACATCAAACTCAGCACTGTGTGCAGCCTCCGGCGTCTCACATTTGTATGAGGGCGCCGGTCCGGTCAAACACGAGGTTTGTGTTGTACAGTGAGACGCCGTCCTCGGGACAGGCCGAATCCGAGTCAGCAGAGCACAGCTCCTTGGTGACGAAGTTGGCCACGATGTACATCTGGTGCTCCCGCGCCAGGCAGCTCAGATTCCGTATCGCCTGGGTAGCGGGTGGATTGGTCAGTGGAGAGTTCATGTGCAGGAGGTGAACAGCGTGAGAGATATGCTGATACACAAGTCATGTTGCACAAATAATTAATGGATCCCACAATGATCTCATTGTGATTCTAATTGCGGTCAATAACAAGGCTAGAACCGGATCGGAAAGATGTCTGAATTCAGGAGACGGATTCAGCGGGCCGGCGTGTCGTGCACACTACAGCGTCGGTTGGTCCCTCTGATCGGGACAGGCTGTCTCTCACATTGACCACTGAAGGGAGGGACGTAACTGCTCGTTGGTTACCTCGTGCTGCGTCGGGTCGTCACAGATGACGACCATGTCCTCTACGGGCGGTAGCTGGGCGGCGTACACGGCGAGCTGAGCGCGCGGCCACACCTTCAGAATAGCGTACTCGGCGAGCACCAGCAGGTCAGCGCCCTGCGGGCAGGACAGGGTGTCATTAGAGGTAAGCTGAGTCAGAGGTCAGCTCATAGCCCTGTGGATTAGCATAGGGTGCCCTCGGAAGTCAGCAGGGATCGTCTCAGCACCCTGGGCCCTGGAGATCGGTACAGGGTGTCCGCGAGATCAAAAGGGGCTGCATGCCTGGCCATGCCCATAACCGCACCCTTAGTGTCGGCACAGGTCGCCTCACTCATCAGTGAAGCTCTATAATCTTTACAGTGATTGAGGAACAAACTGAGACCATAGCACCACAATGAGAATAGCTATGACTTATTCATGTAGCTCCCCGCTGACCGGCGTAGGTCTCACCAGCCCAGCCTCCCACGCACCTGCTGTGCGGCGGTGGCGGCGTGGCGGCGCACCGTCTCCAGGTTCCGCCGCCAGGGGGCGTCGGGCTCGGCGGCCAGGTCCCGCTCCGGGTACCCGTCTGCCCAGACAAACTCGGACACAGCGGCTACGAACGGACGGGGTGTGACCGGTGCTGCCGCCGACGGGCGGACGTCCAGCTCCAGCTCCGACGGCGAGAGCGCAGAGGTGGCGCTGGTCAGCGCCAGCACCAGCAGCGCCAGCGCCGGTGTCAGTGGTGACGGCATGGCGGCCCGAACTGTGACAGAGCAGCGAGTGGCGGGGTTACAATCAGGAAATAAATGAAAGGTGTACAAACGGCGGAAGAGGCGTATGTTGCCACATGCCAATCAGCACTCGCTAACTAGATCGGATGAGCTAGATAAGGGTTTTACTGGGCATGGTAACCGTAGCCTAGCTTGTCGAGCCGTCGCCTGTAGTATTGTTTGATAAACGAACTTGGCATCAAACACTAGGCGATCCCGTTCTAATGTTGCTTTTTCAACAAGAGCGCCTAGCTGGGCAGAAGCAAGGGTGACATCAACAAAGTCGAGTCACGGTCTGAGAACCTCATGACCCCTGAGGCCGGCCTGACAAGTTTCCTCTGCACCCCTGATTATCTCCTCCTCCCCCCCCCCCCCCTCCTGGGTGTCAGTGACGGGTGAGGCGCCCAGGGGCGACCTCCAGCCATATCTGGAACGGGGATACCCCCGCGGCTGGACCTCAGTACTCATGCACATCCTGTATTGACCCCACAGCCTGCTGTCTCCGACAGTGTCTGGACAAGTGCCAGATAATTTGGCACAGCTTCAAGGTGACCCAGGCTATTACTGTTTTATATTGCGTCGTTAATCTGCAAACACCGGTTTGTGGCTTTATTCATGTGGCTCGCTACACTGATGCGCTGTCGGTTTAGATTTTCGTCAGTTGTTCACGTCCGCTCTTAACACATCGAGATGCTCACCTCTCACCCCATACTGATAGCGAATTATAATTACAACAACTCTTTGTCGATTGTTTAAACTGAAGCACTCAAACAATGTCAAAAGGCGTTACCAAGCGTCAGCATTAACGTTATCGTCCGCAGAGATAGTCAGTATCTACTAACAGCAAACACAGTTAAAGCAAGCGACATCGCCGACCACGTTTGCTGACAGCATCACTCTAACACCGGACAATGACGCAGCAGATACTGCCTGGCCTTGTGTTTAGAGCATCCCCGGTATTTAACCCTCCCCCTCCCCCACATTCTAACTCACCGGTACCAACTCACCCGTGTACGGCGGAGCTCACCACCGGGCGCCCTCCCGTCACGAACCGCCGGCGAGAACTGAGGCGCCACGGGTGAGCGATCCGTCGGCGCCCCCGGTTATAGGACAGACTGTCGGAGGGAGGCAGACACGACAGACCACACGCGGATCACATGGCACTGGTGTGGAGGCCGCGGGAGGGGAGAGGGGGGGGGGGTGGCGCACATGTGTGCCGGGCTCCACGCGATTCCTGACACCCGTGTCCCTGTGACCAGAGTTCCGGCCACGAAGCCGTACGACCTTTGCCCCTCAGTGGGGCGCGGGCCGATTGTGACCAGTCATGCTGCGCTGTAACAGAGACCTTCTGGAAGTGTTACGATCGATGGGGTGACGGCGACGACCCGCATCATCTGGTGACATGTGGCCAAAGTTCTGTTTGGGCAGATGTTTAGCACAGGCCAAACGATCCCCTGATTTGCGTTGTAAGTGCCAGAGAGCCGGCCACAGCTGTGTACATACACATATGTATAGGCCAGTCGTGTGGATGCGACAAGAGACGACAGCGAACAGAACAGTGCCACTTCAACGTCAATAATCGGACAGGTTCAAGTACCCAAATACTACGCGCGGATAAATACCAAAACTCTATTGTGTAAAACACGCTGCTGCGAATATTCACGCATTTTTATTCGCCACCTTTACACTCAGCATCTCATGCGGAGGCCACATATCACTACAAAAGGAAAACATCGGCCGACGGTGTCACGCCATCAGCACAAACACAGCTCGTCGCCATGGCAACGCCGGCGAGTGTACAAACGCACCCGCAGTCCACACTCCGACCTGTCTACACTTGTCTCCGGAGCCACCAGGAGAGCCACAGTCGCTCCTAGAGTGGCGATCAGTGATCACATGAACCTCGCATCACCTTCTCCGATCGACAGCAAATCCAGTCACATAGGGACCGATCAGTCCGCCGCCACAAATCAGTCACACGGTGACTGATCCAGACGATGTGAGGGCTCAAAACGCATTGTTCGGAGAGCGGAAAGGCTGTGAGCGATTACGAGTCTCACGGACGACCATTTCTTGGGTCGGTGAGCTAAGCGAACATCTACACAGGAATGTAACGCCGAGAAAAGAGCGAAACAGCGACAAAAGGTGATTGAATATCCGAAACATTTATGTGGAAATCGTGTCGATTTAACTGTGCCAATACGTTTATTTGTAGGTTCAATCTAACAGGCAAATGTGGATGGTAAAAAATATACCTACTCTCAGCCCTGCATGAACGGGTGATTCACTTTTCATCACAAACCATTTTCGCGTGCTTACTTCACCCAGCGCCTGGCGTCTTTGCCGTGCCCCTTCCTCACACAGTGGTAGAGAAGTCCTACGTCTTGGGTCGCGGCTTCAGCTCCTCGAAGCACGGGTGCAAGAAGATGTAGTTCTTCTTGGTCGGGGTATAGAACTCGTGGCCCTGAAACGGTGTGAAGAGCAGCGTAAATGACAGGTACGAGAATATGCCCGGCATCATTCAGGAACGTCTGTCTGCCTCTAGAATTATGACATGGTTCGCCAAAGCAACTCTGTGAAAATTATACGTGAAATATAGAAACGACTGGAAACTTCATGCCATTTGCAAAAAAGCCGCAAAAAAGCACCGCTTAGCGTTGCATGCGATTGCGGCCCACAGGCCACCCGCTCAACCGTTCAATCAAAATTGATAAAACAAAAAATAAAGGAAGCTGTCACGTCCTGTCCACGTAAACACGATTTTTGTGCAACATAGTTCAACGGGTCAGGGGGAGGGGACCTCTCTGACAGTCGACAGGCCAGCCGCCTCCCGCACCCGCGGCTCACCTTGGACCAGTCGTAGCTGACGGCGTAGGCGAATATCTGTCCGGTGTGGTTGAAGGCGCACTTGGTGATGGACTGCTCCATGGCCTCCGAGGTCTTCAGCTTGGTGCGCGCGTCCTTGTCCCAGAAGCTGAACCGGCCGTCAGAGCCGACAGTGGCCAGCGTGCCGTGAACCGGGTGGAACCGAATGTCGTTCACCTGCCGGGGAGACAGGTCAGGTCATGCTCGAGACACCTTGACCTGGACGGGTGAGGGTGAGGTCCAGTTCAGCATGGTCAATGCAGTTCCAGTGGAGCTCTTGGGCAGATGACACGCAGGTTACGCCACGATCACGGTGAAGGGGAAGATATCGTGAATGGGAGATGCCGCGACCGCTAAAGCAGTGAAACAGCTCTTCTGATAAAAAATGCGAAATGAGGATTGGGATTTCAGCTTAACCGGTCATGAGCAGAATCGAAAGTCAATAATCAAGTGTAAACAGATAATCTCTCCGCTGGAATATTTTGCTCGTTTCCATTTCAACGTTATACAAGAGGTCGCACGATATAGCAAGGAGCGACATAAGCAGACAATGACAGCTTCCCGCTCAAGAAGACAACCTGGTTGACATTTCCAACTCCTCCACATCGCTATTCCATGCTCGCTCGACCCTCATGCACGACCACTCACCGAGAAGATGTCCTGGTAGCCCTGGTTGGTGCCGTTAGAGCGGTGGCATTTAAACGTGAAGTTGTCCTTGGGGTTGGCCGGGTTCACGTACTGAATGGCCACGCGACCCTCCACGCTACCAATGGCGTAACCTGGGAGCGTGTGCGGGGAGGGAAGTCAGGTGTTGACGGTGAATACCAGGGGCAAAGAACTTGATAACCGTGACAACAGTTCGACCGAAGTCAGCTCAAATTATGTAAATGATGAACACAATCAATCTGACATTGAAGCACACGCAGTCAGCTGCCGATCAGAACAGCACCTCAGTTCGCTCCTTTCCCTTCCTACCTGTCCTTTCTAAGCACCTTCCCTTCTACCACCCTCTCTAGTCTATCACATTTCCCTTCCAGCCTCCTGCTCCTCCCTCTTCCTCCACTCCCTCTCTCTCCGCCACCCACCGGTGGGCCGGTTCATCTTGTCCCTGAAGATGGAGATGCAGCGGTGCTGGTAGCGCAGGCTCGACTCCTGCGTTTTGAACTGCTGCGGCTGACCCTCCAGCTGGTACACGATGATGCCCCGGTTGGCCGTGCTCACCACGGCCATCGGATAGTCGACGTCGGCGCAGTAGGCGCGCTCCGGCAGAGCGATCGACATCATCGGGTTCGGCGAGCGCGTGTCCCAAAACTGGCGGCGAAGGGTGGACGAGAGTTCATGATTCAATAGGACTTTACAAATAGTCATCAGCCAGAAAACCGAAGACCATTGAAAACGTGGACTTTTTATAGCTTTCATGCAATAGTGGCCACAATGCACATTCATTTGATAGATTGACAGTCGTGGTAGGTACATAAAACATGTGTAAGCGCAAGTGATTGAATACAAACGTCAACCACCCACATACTCCACCCCATCGAGCGTCCAGCCCATCACAAGCACCACACCCTCCTACCTTGAGCGTCTTATCCCAGGATCCTGTCATGATGCACGTGTAGTTGGGCGCCTTCACCCAGTGCACGGTTTTGACTGGCGCGTCGTGCTGGGCCACCTGGACGGTCTGGTTGCTGGCCAGGTCCCAGCAGCGCACCGTGTTGTCGCAGCCCGACATGAACACCTTGGTGCCGTCGTCGGCCCAGGCCACGTCCAGCACTGGGCCGCCCATGGTCTGCTGCGCCTTGGGCTGTGTCTTGCCGCTGTTCTGATCCACCTCCCAGCAGCGCACCTGAACGGACGGGAAAAACGGTGGAAGAGACGATCGGTTAAAGACGGCACGAAGGAGGTATGAAATAAAAAAGGTTAATGCGTAACATTTCTGAAGTAATAAATTGTTCAGGATCGTAGAATACTATGCTACCAGAAACATAAAATTATCCCATAAAAACGTTAAAAACGGAATGACAACGAACAAGGTAAAAAAGAAACATATTTCCTGATAATTCTTAGCATTTCAACAACAAACAATCGTCACTTCTCACTTGGTAACTCGCTCCACCCTCATGGTGTTAGTTTGTAATTTTAGGGTGCCTGGACTTCAGAAGTCATCACTGCAGTGCTCAGCTTCACCCTCTTCAGCGGCCTTCCCCACAGCTGCCCCTTCCGCCCCCCCCCCCCCCCCGACTCACGTTGTTGTCCCAGCTGCCGGCCACCAGGAAGGTCTGCGGCACGGCCGGCGGCGAGAACTCCAGACACGACACCGAGTCGTCGGGCGGCGACACCACCTCGATGTCCTTCATCGGGTTGGCCGTGCTGGCCGCCGCCGTCTGGCCGAACACCGACGACGAGGCGCCCAGCCCGCCCGTGCCAAACATGGTCATCGCACCAGGCTGCGCTCCTTCAGGCCGAGCTTCTCAAGGGACCGAGCACTGGCAGTGTAGAGACAAAAGGGTAGAGTGCCGAGATACCAGCAGAATATGGGAAGGTATTGGGAGTCTTGAGCACTTCAAACTGTGGACACAAAAAACATGTGGTTCAGAAATGGTATTTGTCAACTATCTTAACATAAAACATTCACCGTTTTCTTTGAATTGCCCCTCACCAACTCTTCACCTGTCAAAGAAAAGGACCTGGGAATCACAATTATGCCAGGCCTCACAGTATCAGAGCAGGTGATGAGAGCAGCAGCAGTAGCGAACTCCATAGTGGGCATTCACCTTCATAGACAATGAAATGTTCCAGCCAATCTACCAAACTCTGATAGGCCCTTTCAAGGAATATGCCAACCAAGCTTGGTCCCTATTTCTCCAGAAGCATGCCAAAAGGCTCAAGAGGATCTAAAGAAGAGCTACAAAAGTTGGTAGAGCGTTGGACTCCGCGTGGTGAGGGCACGCGTTCCCAGTTACGACAGTCCGGTTCGAGGCACCACGGGCGCTTGACTTTTAGGAGCCTCCTGACAGGTATGGTAACGGTTGGTGACAGGCCGTAGCCAGGCGAAGTCAGTGAAGGGACCGGCCGTGCGTGACTATGTGCGCACGTTTAACTTTGGACTCCAAATCCTGCCATATAACCGGAATTGCATGATCGGAGGGCAGAGGGCAGGGTCGACGCAACAAGCTTTGCTTAGCGGAGACCCTGTTCTTGTGAATCCTTCTGTTTAAAAGGTTCTGACTAAATTTATAATAAAAAACATCCACATTTAAAAACAAAAAACAATCATAGTTGCGGCACTCGGCCGGCAGGATCGCTGCCACACAAGCGGTCGGTAGTCGTAAAGCAGGCATCACACTTGTTTTTTTTTTTTTGCAACTAAGGAAACTAGGTGCTATACCCAGAGATGCTTTCTAATTAAACCAAAGCAAACCAAACCTAACAAAACCTGACCTAACCTTACCTTCAACCTGAAACATACCACCTAAAACCTAAAACCTACAACCTAACCTACAGTCGCCTCTCCTAGTCCTTGGTTGCAAAAAAAAAAAACAAGTGTGACCCCTGCTTTACCAACTACCGAGCAGCCTTGACAGCTCCCGTGTCAGCGGCAGTTCGGTCCTGCCAGCTCGGACCTGGCACGCCGCCAGCTGACTGGACTTGCGCCCAGTCAGCCAGTCAGTGTCAGTCCCAGTCAGTCAGTCAGTCAGTCCCAGTTGCCCAGCCAATGTCATATGACATTGAGAATAGGCAGCATTCCAAGATCATCTGCTCCCTATGCCTCTTTCCCATCCACTATGGTAATATCTATAATTATGGTGTGCATCTACTACTGTTAACGCCAGACCCCTTGAGACCCTAATTTTTCGCGATTACTTTTAAATGCGTGAAGGAATTTCAACCAAGCTCAGGACATGGCCGTTTCAAGACAGGCCGAAACTTTTACAATTTAGATATTTTATCGCTATTTCAATATTTCAGGCACTTGTAATTGACTCGTAATGTTAAATTTCGAGCAAGATTTTCATCCGGTGTGTAGAGGCTATCACCAGTCAGTCTGTGATACGTTATGACGTCACAGCTAAGCCCCGCCTCTGTGGTCTTGGCCTGCGGCGGTTTCGGGCCGGCGCGCGGTCACTCTCGCTGTGGCGGGGAGCGGGGACGGGCGACGGTCGAGCGGTGCCGAAAGCCGGCGGAGTTGTGCGTAGCGTCTTGGCTGACAGTGCCCAGAGAGCGACATGATGACTAAGGAGCCATAAATGCTCAATGCGCATTGCTTCTACAATGCTGATATGTTCGCTGATATTTTTTTTATAAGCTGCAAATGACGGGCAAATGGCATATAACTGACATAAGGTTAGGAAATATTCACCTGTATTTAAAGCCTATGGCGTTGCAGATAATGCGATAATGGGATGTCGGATGTCACCAAGTAGCTGCCGATTTGTACATCGCTATGCAACCATCGAACAACGCAATAATAAGTTAATTGCCTTCGCTTCACATCATAAGGCTCGCTCGTATTTCAAACAGATACCCTACATCGAAAATCGTATTTGTTAGGAATCGTTAACGTTTGTTCGAAGCACGACTGAGTAGTAGGTTGAGGAGTGATGTTCCTCTTGGTCCTATATACAACAGTCAACAAGAGCCTAACATTTACTTGACCGTCTGCTGCAATTGCCTCATAGCACGTGAAGCGTCAGCGAAATTCATAGTCCTTCACAGATGGCAGGGGTGTCGTTTGTACAGAGGTCGCTGATGGGCACGGGTCAATGCCGTAGTCGTGGGCGGAGCCTAATGTCATATGACGTAGAAAGCCTCTATCCAGGATGGAAAAACAGTTAACATTTCGAGTCAATGACAAGTGCCTGAAATATTGAAATGGCGATAAAATATATAAATTGTAAAAGTTTCGGCCTGTCTTGAAACGGCCATGTCCTGAGCTTGGTTGAAATTCCTCCACGCATTTAAAAATAATCGCGAAAAATTAGGGTCTCAAGGGGTCTGGCGTTAACAGTAGGCATGGTGGGCACCTGCCTTGGCCCTCACCGACTTGAACTGATTGCAACTGCTTCTAACAACAAGCAAAGAGATACTCATCGGCCTCTCATAAAGAGCCAGACTGGAAAACATCCATACACTACGCCGGATGTCCGTGAGACCCTCATGCACAGAAATTCGGCGCAAGCGATTTTGCGCTGAAATTTCGTCATGATTTGCGCCGAAAATTGGGTGCTTCTGCTTATTTGCATCAAAATTAAACCACTTTTATATAAAGCACATGTGCACATCTACCGACCAAGGCTATATCAACCAGATAGGTAGCGCATCTCAGGGCGTTGGACACTCACATGTTTGAGCGTCCGAATAACTTTTTATTTTCATGGAAACCCAATGCCACAATACGCTTAGCGCACTGTAGCTTAGTGCCGTGAAGCAAGGCCCTTGCTAAAAATTCCGGGACCACAAAAATCGACGGACCGGGTGTACGAGGCTGGCGGGCGCCAGCACGGGCCGGGCAGTGGAGCAGCACGTGCCCCAGCACATCAGCCTCTTCTCGGCACACGGCGCAGAGCACCGCGGGTCAGTGTGCACCGCTTGTCTGCCGGCACTGCTGGCACGCTTCAGAGGGGAGCCGGCCGATTCGTTGCAGGTACTGGAGCGAGCGGCCCCATTGGCTCGGGCCCCGCCCTCTGCCCTCACCTGGTGCACCGAAACGGCGTCCTCTCGGTCCTCTCCGGGGATAGGGAGCGGCGGCGTGCTCCCGAGGAGTGGCTTGAATAATGAATTGGACCAGTTGTCGCGCCATTGACGCGAGGCCGCACAATGAAGCATCAAGGTCAGCGTGCGGGCGTCAGAGGGCAGGCCCAGGGTGGCCGTTGTTTCGCCAGGTCGTCCTCGCTCTCATACCCCTCGGCCTCGATACCGCAGTGGGCAGGACCCTGACTGCAGTATTACTTCACGACGCTCAGCAATGTTCATTAAGGTCTTCCATACCCATATTCGTCCCGAGGGTGGAGGCCTTTCCTGGGCGGCCAGCGGCTGCTCCTCCGCTGAGTAGACTCAGGGCGGCTCGCCAGTTCGAGCACTCGACGACCGGGGCAGGGACGTCTCGTCCCGAACCTTCTCCAGAGCCGCTCGCGGGGCGAATCTGCTGCTAGATTGACCAGCGTAAGGACTTAACTCGGTGACCGACATTTACCAAAAAATTATCTGGCCGCCCTGCGCCGAAAAATTCGGCTGCTGCCATCCGCTGAATTCGGTGCATATGAAATTATGCCGGACGTGGCCTGAAATTTTTGCTGCAATCCCGCCACTACGCCGGACATATTCAGCATAATGTGCATTTTTCCAGTCTGGATAAAGAGTGCCGTAAAATGGGGTGTTAAGGGACAGTGGGGTGTTAAGGGACAGTTGCATTGGAAAAACTTTGAGTCATATTAACTTCCTAATTTGAGAAGGTTCAATAAAAACTTCAGTGTGGTAGTTGACACTGTTTTGCTCTTGACCATAGGAGAAAATGGTATGGTTTTTCATGCAAGTGATTTGGTTCAAAAATGGATTTGAAAATCATGCTACATTTTCACAAAATTGAAACATCTCCAAAACTCTGTGTGTACCGCATAAACTAGTGGGTGTACAGGGAAAATGAATGCATAGGTGTATTGTCACATGTATTGCACATGTTTCCTGAAAAACTTGTGCAAATCCACCCATTCATTCATCATCCTCTTCCTCTTTTCCGGATACATGCATATTTTTAGGTGGATGTGGGGTGCTAAGGAACAGGGAAAAAAAATAAAAAATAAAATCTAAATATAATTTAATTAAGTAGGCATGGAAAACACCAAATTCCACATAAAATGCTGGCAAGTTCATGCTTTTATATCTAACACATCTTTAGTTATGTAACAAAACATCTCAACACTCTCTTTTACAATGATGGGTCAATGGAGACTGATGTAGGTAAATGTCATGTCATCATAAAAAGGCTAAAACAAAGAGGGCAACATAATGACAAGTGACTAGTTTCAACATGGGTTTTTATTGATGACAGAAGATTACTTTTTGGTCCTGTTTACCTTATAATTAACACATTTTCCACAAGCGTAAACTGCATTACACGTAATTCAGTTGGGCAAACTAGACCTTTGGAATCAAAATATGGAGGCATCAAAAGATTGATTCCTTATGACCATATTTGGGCATAAATGCAGACCATTTCTAACTTACCAAACACATAAAAATAAGAGAGTGTTTCAAGAAGGAGCATGCCTGACCTTGAACAGAAATGCTGGAAGTATCTCCTAAGCAAAATAATATTGCTCCTATCATAACAATTTGAATTCTATAGGTAGTGAAAGGCAATCAAGGAATTGATTCACTTTAAACAGATAATCATAATATTGATTCCCCATCAGCTGGCTAATCATTATTTTGATTCACAGGTAATGTTAACAGATAGGCAACAATTACTTGGAAGAATACAACATTTATCTTGCTATTATTCTGATTTAGTGGTATCCTCAGTACCACAACAGATACCTATAGCACTGTTGTACTTTACCTTCAATACATTTGATAACAATTCACAATTTTTAAATGTCAAGAATACAAAAACTGAAGCAACAGGTAAAAACCATATAATAAATATAAAAGCACTACAACAATGATAATTAGGGGTTTGAAAATTTCATTTTGCCATTTTACACAAATACTGATTGTTAAGTATGCAATTCATGATACAAAAATAACATACACTGTGATTTCCTCAAAACAGCTTTTACGTGATGGACAGTGCCTCTGTCTTTTTCCCATTCCCAAGGCCAAGGGGACAATTTCTTAGTTTTGAGGTAACACTTTTTGCAAACCTACCACATTTTTCTACCTTTTTAAAGAAAAATATCACCGTCATGGGCCTTTTTTCAACCGTAACGATACATTTGAAATCAAAAGTGTACCCAAATGAATCAAAAAATTGATCCTATGCCCATATTTGGTCATGGCTCCTCCCACCAGAATCAAATTATTGATGCCTCCATATTTTGATTCCAAAAGTCTAGTTTGCCCAACTGAATTGGCTAAAAAGGTCATTAGTGGTGAATGAACCCGACTTGTTTTGTGACAGAATATGCAAAACATTTCAATAAATAAATTGTGTGCCCTTCCACACCCCAATTGTGGGCATTTGATGACCATTTCTTGGAATAATATAGGTGTCCCTTAACACCCCACATTGGGGTGCTAGGGGACAGTGATGAAAAATAATAAAAAATAATATGAGGTATCAATCTTAAAAACTTTAATGTGGCAGGCATGTAAAGCACCAAATTCCACATAAAATGCTGACAATTTGATGCTTCTATCTCCAACCCTTCTTGAGTTATATAACGAAACACCTCAAAACTGTCCCTTAACACCCCGTTTTACGGTGCTGGAACATCAAAGAATGTAGGCAAGGAATGAAGCTGATTTCTAATATTTCCTTGCTCTTTAGTAGGCAGAACAAATTTAACCTGAATTCGTATTCAATTGGTATTTGGTTTTGGTGCTCTCACTCTGTCCTCAGCTGCATAAGTGGTAAGCATGGTGCTTCTGCACCATTCCTAGCGCACCAGTTTATTTCAATTCATTTGTGCGATTAATGCTAGTTGAACCAGCGATGGCAAGCAGAATCAGGTTAAATTCAACCTTGAAGTAGGTACCTATTTTACTTAGCATGCATTTGATTCTCAATTCGATGGAAACTGCTTTACAGCAACCACCAATCACCAAACGCTCAATGTTTGGCCAAATACTGCAAAAATGAGAGAGACTGACGCACTGATTATGAACGATTAAGTTTTCTTGCGGGAGCCCAATTCACGGTTAGGTATTGAACGTTACCGGAATAAAATAATTAATCTCTTTTTCTTTATATTTCAGTAGGTGGAACTATGGTCATGAGTACCCAAATATAGGAACGTTCCCATTTTTGGGAACGGAGTTCCCAAATATGGTAACGGGCGTTCCCATTTATGGGAACGGAAGGTAATTTTTCGGCCGTTCGCCCACTAAAACTCATTAGTGCATCACGTCTCAAAAAAGTGCACGCTAATTTAAGTATCTACTAAGTCTCTATAAAATTATCTTTAATCTGACCGTTGCACAAGGAAATTGACCGTCGAATGATATTTTTAATGATTTTTTGAAATGACGGAATGGTGAAAACATGGGTTATACTACATTTAACTTGCAATTTTAAGGAAAATGAAGCGTTTTTTACATTTTGAGGTCAAGTATAATAATTTTCGCCTGGTTATGAAGTTTCATACTAGCGACACCAGATGCTGACATATGCAAGCGAACACGCGGACAGTCCGGGGGTAATATTGGTGACATTTGGTGTCGGGGCGCACGACCGCATGGAACGTCAGTGATTTTACCGAACTACTGTTGTAAACTCAGTTTCAGTGGTTTAAAATTATTCAGCTGTATTTTATCATCCCAGAAAGATATATTTTTTTTGGATGCTAGCTGTTTAGAGTTGTTTTATAAGGAGCGTCATGAGCGTGGTTTTTGTCTTCCGTGTTTCTAAGCGTGATCGTTTTGGGGGAATTTCTCTTATATAGGTCGCTCTGTGTGGCTTATTTATAGTTTTTATGCTGATTTCGATCATTCCTCGTGCCCATCCTACCAGGCCTTTTGCCACTTACACTCATCAAGAAAGGAAAAAACTAGATTTTCATTGGGACTAGGTGTTTTGAGGGTGTAACATATTCAGCGTTCCCATTTTTGGATACTTCCTTGTGCTCGTCAACTATCGGTGATAAACAGACAGATGCTTGACATGTCTCCACCCTCGGCGCGGACGGTGGATATAGGTATGGAAGACCTTGTTGAACATCGCTGAGCGTTGTGAATTACGTATCCTGCAGAGGGGGGCGTGCCCGCTGCGAGATCGACGGGAATAAAAGCGCAGAAGACCGGGCGAAACATGCGACGGTCTTGCCGGAAAGGTCATCTGATGATTGTTGCGTTAACAATAATTTGCGGCGTTGGACGTGATGCTTGTTAATGAAAAGAGCCCCTGAAAGGCGTCGGTGAAATCGTTCCCAATTTTGGGTACGCCGTTCCCATAATAAGGAACGCTTGCAGCGCCAGTGTACGAGAGCGTTCCCAAATTTGGGCTCGCGGCCCGGATGATGGACTGCTTTAGAAATAGGGGAACGATTTGAAACTACGATGGGCCTTACAATATCAAACTCTTTCCCAACAATATTGAGACAAATATCAGGCGGTTCACGATCGTTTTATATTTTTTGGACGTCATTTAACGGTTCTTTTTCTTGTTTTAAATAATGCCTACATGGCGTTCCCATATTTGGGTTTATCGTTCCCAAACATGGGAACGAAAATGCGTTCCCGAAAATGGGTACGCTTGACCATAGTTCCGCCTACTGATTTAAGAAACAACAGTGGAAACCGAAGTGGAAACAACCTACCGCGCACAGGCTATGGCGCGTCTTTGCTGCGCCATACATGTATTAAAAGTGCCTGACAAGCGCGAAGCAAATAGCGCAAATGCTATTTTCACTAAGTGACGTCTAATTAACAATTTTGCAAGAAATAGCGGACAAAAATACTTTTTTATTATTTGTTGGATTTCAAAACAACAAAAAACCTTTGATAAATATTAAAATTCAGTTGATAAAATAAGCACCTCAACAAATATCTGAATGTTGGCAGTTTAACACCACTGAGTCTGGGGCAATGCTTTATTGAACTGTACATATTTTTCACAAATTTCCACAGTAAACATTTGCTCATGTAAATCTTTTTCTGTTTTTTATTTCTTCTTAGCAATTAATATCCAAAGAAGAGCACTTTACAAACAGCATGCTTTCTATTTGTAAGACTTACGTCATTTGAAAAAGAAAGTCAAAAAGACCTCGTAT